GGACTACGGTTTCATGCTGTGTTGTTACTGAAGGCTCGTAAGTTAATTTCACCTGTCTCGCAGGAACCAGAAAAGCACGTGTTTCACATTGTCACTGACAAGCTAAATTATGGTGCTATGAAGATGTGGTTTTTGGCAAACCTTCCTGGCGATGCCACCATTGAAGTGCAAAACGTCGATGACTTCAAATGGCTGAACTCCTCTTACTGTCCTGTGCTGAAGCAACTGGAGTCTTCTTCCATGAAGGACTATTATTTTAAGGCTGACCAAACTAATCCCCTTGCAGCAGGAACATCTAATCTCAAGTACAGAAACCCGAAGTACTTGTCTATGCTCAATCACCTGCGGTTTTACTTACCAGAGGTGTTCCCAAAGCTTGACAAAATCCTGTTTCTTGATGATGATATCGTCGTCCAAAAGGATCTCACTCCTCTCTGGGACATTGATCTAAACGGCAATGTCAACGGGGCTGTTGAAACTTGTGGTGCCAGCTTTCATCGGTTTGATAAGTACTTAAACTTTTCTAATCCTTTGATTTCGGAAAACTTTGATCCCAACGCCTGTGGATGGGCCTATGGGATGAACGTCTTCGACTTGAAGCAGTGGAAGAAAGAAGACATCACCGGCATTTACCATAGGTGGCAAAGCCTGGTAAGCTTACATACTTGAAACGAACTTGATCTTTCATCTCATCAGTTTTACAGGCTGTAAGATCTTTTACACTCTTTGATTATGAGCTAATTACCATTTAATATTGGCCTCCAGAATGAGGATCGTACTTTATGGAAGCTTGGAACACTACCTCCGGGTCTCATTACGTTCTACAATTTGACCCAACCTCTGGAGAAGTCGTGGCACGTTCTTGGACTCGGTTACAACCCCGCCATTGAGGAGTCAGAAATCGAGACTGCAGCAGTTATTCATTGGAATGGCAATATGAAACCATGGTTGGAGATTGGGATGGTGAAATTCAAACCCTACTGGACTAAGTTTGTCAAGTACAACCACCCTTTCTTACAGCAATGCAACATCAACGAATAGAGCTGCTGCTCCGAGTGTGGTCGCTATGACTCATCATGCAGTTACAAAGAGGTGGTCTGTGAGCGAAAGTGCTGCTTCAAGGGCTACCTCTGTAGTCTCGCCATCAGTGCGTGCCTTGACTACAGGGACCGGTAACCCGCTTGCACTTTGTTGCAGTAGTCTAGCCTCTTTCAAATAATTCTTTCTGTCTCCATGTAACTGGGTCTCGCTGTATCGTACCACCAAATGAGTAGAAACACACCACCAATTGTAGCGTAGGCCCTCGTGGATGAGAAATACGTCTCGGTCTCTGTCAGGCCGTCAAGCTGAGCCGGTTGCCATGACGAGTTAATCCTGCTGGGATTCAGGCGACCGCTAGAGGAAGGCTTGTCAACCTGCCTACTTGTACTCTATATAGTTAATAGTAGCATAGTTTTCAACCCATTCATATGTAAATTGCTTTTGGATTCTGATTGCTCGTTTCATAAGAATCCACTTGCGTAATGCCATCACCTATTCTTGGTGATGCTTTATGCTTCCGTGCTTTTGTTTATGTTGGTTGGTCGTCATGAAGTCATGTGGCAATTATGATTCATTTTTCTATAGCCTTTGCCTTGATCCAGGTGCTCGTTAAGTTCGCATCCATGCTGATACTAGAACGTGTGCTGTGCAGGTAGTGGATTGCCTGCGTAGCGCACAATTGTTTGTACTATATTTAAGAGGAAACTTTTCTGAGTATATTAGTAAAAGGATCTTCTCTGTGCTTGAGGTCATTGAGCACTACTCTTGAGCTGATGTTCGGCCTGATGTTAGAACAAAGTGCAGAGTTCACTCTCATGTTCGAAGTTTTTTTCTTCAATTCCTTATTTTCGCATTGACCATAGGTGGCCATTGCAGATCCCCTGGTTCCACTGTGTGGATTTGTTGTTGTGATCAATCCAGAGAATTTGCCGAGCCTCTAAACTCATGAAACTTGTCGCTTTTAAGCTTTTGCTGTTATCAGTCTTAATATAGTCATATGGCAATGTGTAACGAATTGGACTGCTTGAAGAAATTCAAACTTACCAGTGCCCTTGCAATTTCCTTAAGTTGTCATGTATGGTATAGGTAATTACACTGCGCAACTAATTGATCAAAATACACACCATACTCACAATTTGATTCCAACTCAGTCACATGGGTTGTACACATTGCATTGTCCAATGTCTTGTACATTTAAATTGTGAGGAAGAGGTGTGAAGTTATGAAACAAGTAAAAATGATTTGTAACAACCCCGAGGAACTAGACTTTGACACGAAGATGATGTTGTGTTGGACATTAAAAGTTATGGTGGCAACTGTAATTGTTATCATGCACTATTAGAATACGAAAGCAATGTTAAAATTTGTTTCTTCCTATACATTTTTCACGTAAACAAACGAATTAATGACATTTAGTCTCGGTCATTCTTCTTTGTTACCGAAAGTCAAAAACTATACATGGAAAACAGAACATGCGGGATTAAAGGACTCGGCTCTTACTTTCTGACGAGGATGGTCCCTTCTGTGAAAGGAAAACCGAAAAAAAGATACGACACCTCTTTAACACGCACCTATTCTGTTTTCTACTAATGCAAAAAGAAAAAGAGAGGAAACAATCTTTAGAAACCACGGTTGTAGGGACACGACGGTGAATACCAACTCTTTTTTCCTTGTTTTGCAGTCAGAACGAGAGTGTGTCGCAGCAAAACTGTGCTGGGAGCACCTTCCCCTGTGGCAGTGAAGAAGATTGATTGGCGAATACTGGCTGCTTGTTTGTTGCGGATCATGGCAATGCACAGCTGAGAGTGGACTTGGATTGTGTTTCTGAGAGGCCTGTGAGGGTCTGAAAGGGGCAGATCGGCAAGCTGGGGAAGCAGGGAGGCTCCGGAATGGCACTCTCGGGAATGCGAGGGCTGTCTACCTTCATTAGCGATGTGAGGAATTGCCAGAATAAGGAGGCAGAGCGGTCTCGCGTCGACAAGGAGCTCGCCAATATACGGACGCGGTTTAAAAATGATAAGGTGGGTTCGTTCTCTTTGCGTATGCTCACATTGCAGGGGTTTGATCCTTAGTTTTGAGGTTAGATCTCGTGATTTACAAACGGGGGGGCGGGGTGTTGGTTTGTGAGATCTTTCGGAATGGGTTTTTCAGGACTTGGATTTTTTGATCGATTAGCTGAGGATAGTCTGTAGGTCTTGGTGTAAGTTATGCCTGGAAGTAGAACCTCAGGCTTCTCTAGTCCGCAGATCCGTTACGGGCTGGAGCATGTAGCATGCAGATATGGATTGTAGTGCACCATTTTTAAGAACTTTTAGTTTTGGAGCATTTGGTTAGATATATGAAGCTCCGATAAGCGTTCTGAAATTTCGTCGTTGGAAGCAGACTACATTAAGAACCATTATACATCAGGTTTTATTGTAGCCGCTGTGCTGCATTACTTCCAAAGTCTCAAGGTTGACCTAATCTAACATATACTGGATTGGTGCACGTAGATGCGGACCAGTCATATTTTTTGTTCAATAATATCCGAAGACTCTCTTCTGCAAGGTAGGCAATAAAGCAATTTTAGTATGGTTAAATATGTGGGATATCTTTCATAACCAAGGCATGTGTAGGTTTAAATGAAGATGACTAGACGAACCTCAAACTTATTCACCACAAGTCTCAGCTCTTCTGTGCAGAAACCGGATCTTCATCTCCCATCTTTCTTTGTTATTTACTAGTGTATGTTGGAAGTCCCTTATAGAAAGTGTTTATTGGTAGACATATCCAGAAGTGGAATTTCGTAACATTGCGGACTTAGCAAAAGCCCATTACTTGCTGTTACCTGTTGTAAATCTTGTTACATGGACTGGAGGATTTTCTCGTGCTGAGTATCTCAATCCTGTAGCTATTCTGTGCACTTAGTTTTAACGAAAGGATAGCAGTAAATCCGCCGCTTTATGTCACAAACATTAGCGACCACAGATTTTGTTTTGGTTGTTTTCTCGTCTTAGTACTCTAGAACTGGGGTTTATTTGTCATTTATACATCTCAAGGTAAGAGCAGTGTTAATCAGTGACCTGAAAGTGCTGGTTATTCTTTATTTCAAGTACTTGATACCTATGCACTTTATCATATTTGACATGCTGCGGAATCCTATCTGCACGTTTGAAGAAATGCTGCTCTGATTGTGGGCTACAATCTACTTTTCCTTATTATCTTCTGTACCCTACCTTTTTGCTTCTAGAAGAACTTGATGCCTGATAAAGTGACATCAAGCTGTTTTTCATGAGACGTGCGGAGTCTTACATGAGGCTACACTGCAACTTTTTTTCTTGTATTCCAGGGGTTGACAGTGTACGAGAAGAAGAAGTATGTGTGGAAGATGCTCTACATTTACATGCTTGGGTATGATATGGACTTTGGACATATGGAGACTGTCTCTCTTATTTCAGCACCCAAGTACCCAGAGAAGCAGGTCCTCTTCTGCCATTTACTCTTTCATTTGGTGATGATCAGTATATAACACTGCCTGTTGTGCCTGCAATTCTCTTTGTTGTTGGAGTTCATTTATTTTGATGGCTGAAGTACTTGGTTACAATGTAGCATGCTGTGAACTTTATCTGATATACACGTAGACAATATGGAAGTGCCAAACAGGCCTTGTATGTCCTTGTTTCGGTTCTTGCAGTAGAATTGTTAATTCTTCCATGTGCTGGCAACAGGTTGGATATATCGTGACTTCTTGCCTTTTGAACGAGAACCACGATTTTCTTAAATTGGTGATCAATACTGTCCGGAATGATATAATCGGCAACAATGAAACCTTTCAGTGCCTTGCCCTTACTATGGTATGTTTTGTTCCGCTAATCCATGATGTCATGTTTGATACTGTATTCCGCACTTTTTGATATTTTAACGTGAAGCTTGGAATTCAGACTCTCAAATTGAAGGGTGTGTGGGATTATTGAGAACTTAATTTTCCCATTATTTTTGCTCTCACTCATGAAATTACCGTCCGTCCTATGGGAAACAGGTTGGCAATATTGGCGGGAGGGATTTCTCTGAATCCTTGGCTTCAGATGTTCAGAAAATCCTGGTAAGCCCATCCAGTGCAGTTGCTTAAAGGATCATTTTGTTCAATCACCGTCCAAGGTTGGGTTTCCTTTTTACTTAGTCGAATGGGAGACAAGGCAGGAACGTTGCACAGGCTTTGCAAGAAAATAGAGTGAATGTCAACCAACGGTGTTTCTATTTAGAATGTAGATGTTCATCATGAATCCTTTAAAGTTTTTTTTTTGTTTTTAATGCAGCTTTCTAATTCCTGCCGGCCTATAGTTCGAAAAAAAGCAGCACTTTGCTTGCTGAGACTTTACCGCAAGAATCCTGACGCTGTGAATGTGGATGGCTGGTAAGTTGCTCACCTGCGAACACATCAAAACGTTGTTCTAATTGTCCTTTTATGTCATAGATGTGCATCAATCAGTTCACGCATTGTATTTAGCTTTCAGATGCTCTTGTTGATACTGGCTAATTTCTGGTTTTATTGTTCATCTTCTTCAAGGAGCATATCAGCTTATTAAGTGCGCCTGCAACTATCATTGGACTCAATATTTAATTTTGTTAGTAACAGTGTGAACTTCTGGGACGCAGGTCAGAGCGTATGGTACACTTATTGGATGAGAGAGACATTGGAGTACTAACGGCTGTTATGAGCTTGCTGGTTTCTTTGGTGGCCAAATCACAAGATGCTTACTGGAGTTGTGTACCAAAATGTGTACGGATCCTAGAACGCCTGACCAGGGGTCAAGATATTCCACAAGAATACACTTACTATGGCATCCCCTCTCCTTGGTTGCAGGTGATTTCTTATTCATTTGTCAGTTAGAATTATGTTGCATATAATTGTGGAGCTGCTTTGTATGTTGACTTTCCAGGTAGCTAATCATGTTGATGGGGAATGATTGAGGTCTGAAGGATATTCCTTGGAAGACATTGGTAATCTTTAAGGATCTGCACGTACGTTATGTTTGTGATGGAGCTTATAAGAAGGCGCGAATCTTCGTTGGAAAATATGTCATTATTAATATCCTGTTGTATGCTTACTTCCATTTTCTAAAGTCCGTATTGTGGGAATCAGGTCAAGACGATGCGGGTGCTGCAGTACTTTCCTGCTATCGAGGATCCGAATATCAGGAAGTCTTTGTTTGAGGTCAGTGTCTCTGTAGCATACTGTTAGGGGTTGCTGTCAAAAGTTCGGGAAATTGTGTTTGAGGCAACCTGTAGATTGTTGCTAGTTAGAGTCACCTTGTTAAGACTCCCAGGGAAATTGCCATCCTCATCCTGCCTGCAACGTCATTTAACGATTTGTCTTGTTTAGCTTAGTATACTAAATATGGAATGTATTATATAACACTATTTACATCCAAATGTATTGAATTACTGAGGATCCTATTGATGTTTCCATACTTATCCTTTTATCCTTTTCTATTGCGACGTGTTACGTTTTGTAGACTTTGCAGCGCATTTTGTTGGGAACTGATGTTGTAAAGAATGTCAATAAAAACAATGCCTCGCATGCGGTACTCTTTGAAGCACTCGCTCTGGTAATAATTCCCGATTTACCTCTGATGTCCTGCCCCTGACAATGGTGCCGAGTCTTGGCACACAATAGTCAGCTCGTTGTCTTTTTGAGATTTGTCACGTGTCCTTCAGTACTGCAGTACTCACTTTGAGGAAGTATATCAACTGTATCCTCCCTGCATATGTGGTGATGCCAGTCCTTTGTGATGTAGGTAATGCATTTGAATGCTGAGAAGGAAATGCTGTCCCAATGCGTTGCCTTGTTGGGCAAATTCATTGCTGTGCGGGAGCCGAATATTCGTTATCTTGGCCTGGTTTGTGCATCATTTTACCATACACCACACTCGAGAAGTTTTTACGATTTCGTACCTCTGCTCGGGCTCTGACATCTGAAGTGAATGTATGTGATGTTGCATGCATGCATTATACATTGAAGCTATTTCCACGGTGCGTGCAAGTGGACTTCTGCCATCTCTAACTTTTGATAATTTTTGCTCATTTCAGGAAAATATGACAAGGATGCTCCTAGTTGTAGATGTTCAGGATATAATTAAGAAACATCAAGCTCAGATAATCACTTCCCTGAAAGATCCCGATATCAGGTATTTCTTTTCTCCCATAAGCACACGTAATTTATGTAGTCATTTGACATTAGCCTCACTCTTGATCTTGCTTTTCAACCGCTGGTTGGCGCTTTTATCGCTCATACATCGGTTTTAAATCCCTTCTAATTTAGGACGTCCTGGATGTGCATATTTTCTTCCTCATTAAAAGATTCCATGTGATCACACCTGCCCGTAGGTCTTTCAACCCGTCCTTATATTCTGAGAAAGTTAAAACTAATAATTCTCACCTGATGTGAGTGGTGAATCACAGCATTCGGAGACGGTCTTTGGACTTGCTTTACGGCATGTGTGATGTCACCAATGCCAAGGAAATTGTGGAAGAGCTTTTGCAGGTCTCCCATACTTTTCCTTCCTGGTTCTGTTTCAAGTGATCCATTTTACTTCTAATGGTCTCCTGAATTTTACTACGTAAAATGCTTGGTTGTTCTGATTTTGCTTAATTTATACTTGTAACTGCTGCAGTATCTTACCAAAGCAGACTTTGGTATCCGAGAAGAGCTCGCATTGAAAGCTGCCATTCTCTCAGAAAGTTTTGCCACCGATCTTGATTGGTACCATTATGATATATACCCTCTACTAATTAATTTATTATTTCCCTGAAACGGTGTTTACGGCTTCAGAAGTCTTGCCTTAAGATGGAAATTTCATCTATCGTGTAACACTACACAATATTATATTCTGTGTTTATATTCGTTGTGGTATATAGTGATACTTGTCAGTGAAACTTGGCGCCTGGAATAATCCACTAAACTCTACTTGGAAACTCTCATTGTAGGTATGTGGATGTCATATTGCAACTCATCGAGAAAGCTGGTGATTTTGTAAGTGATGACATTTGGTATCGGGTTGTACAGTTTGTTACCAACGATGAACACCTTCAGGTACTTGAGGTCCAATCGTCTGATCCCTTCACTTTTGTTAGTACATTTTCAAAAAGGTTCTGCTCCATTATCGTATATTGTTCCATCAGTCATATACATTGAGGGATCTGTTTCAGTTTTTTTCAGAATTGGAAGTATGCGCCTGTTTTCTCTAATAATGATCAAGCGAACATGATATAATGCAGGTGTATGCTGCGGCCAAGGCTTTGGATTATCTTGACAAGCCAGCAGTACATGAAACGATGGTGAAGGTGAGCTCTACCATGAGGCATATATTCAGTTACTTGCAGAACGTGTACTTGCATGAACCCTTTTGACGTGAGAGAATGGCTTTTTTTAGTACCACTTGCTTGCTTGGATGGTCGTTGGCGCCGGCAGACTTTCTCTGCTTTGACGTTATTTTGATTTACTGAACGTAAATAGTTGTTTCCTTCATACAATTTGCAGTTAGGTTGCAGCGTGTGGATAGGAGCATTCTGAGGGGTTGGAGTTGTACGTGCTTTTCTGATATGTTTGTAAAGTAGGGTTTTTTTGATGCTATAAGTCTAAGCACGTGCTAGTCGTTCAGTTGGCTGGATATCTTCTTGGAGAGTACAGCCATTTGCTGGCAAGGCGACCAGGTTGCACCCCAAAGGACATCTTTGACGTCATTTACGACAAATTTGCTGTTGTCTCGTACGCATCTTCTCACTTCAATTTAAATTCATAAGTATGCAAATGCAATGGTTTTTACCTGCTCTGGCTATCTTTCAGATCTTCTCTTTGGTTCCCTGTTTTACTATTAAATCTCTTTAGTGATTGGGAATATTGTGATGTCTACTGCTGCAGAATTGGAACCAAGGCTCTACTTCTTTCTGCCTTTGTTAAAATTCTGTTACATTCTCAACCTCAAGATCCTGATCTGCGGGAGCGTGTGCTAGAGATTTTCAAGAGGTGAACCACTAGAAGCTCAGTAATGGATTCTTATGATATCTTGGCTAGTACCTTAAACCTTGCTGCAATTTGGGCAAGTACGATTTGCCCAAAAGTTCGTACTTAGCTAATGCTTGGTGTCCGAACCATGGTTCGAATACCAAATAAGTAGATCATGACAAGATCGTTGCGTAGATGCTCTCGATGGCGTGCCTTCTTACTGTTATTCAAACCATTTGAGCGTTTCGAGCTTGTTTCTTCCTCTTCTTTCATCCTGTCTGGCCTACTTCATCATCTGAGTTGATGGCGCTTTTTTGGCAGGTATGAATGCTCAGTCGATGCCGAAGTGCAGCAGCGGTGCATTGAGTATCTGACATTGTGCGCGAAAGGTCCTTCTATGGTGGACATCATGGCAGAAATGCCTAAATTCCCAGTTCGTCAGGTATGTTGTTATAGCTATCATTTCATAAGATTGTTTTGAAGGGCCTTGTAAGAAACGGGATACAGTAAATACATGCTTGCCGTGAGCTTGGCATGTTCATTTCTGCAAATAAACAATGCACTAAGGAAAACGTGGTTGTTTATGTTTGTAGTCAGCACTACTTAAAAAGGCCGGAGATGCAGAAAGAGATGTAGCAGAGGAAAGCGCTACAAAGTTGAGAGTTCAGCAGCAAAATTCCACCGCGTTGGTTGTTGTAGAGCCACAGTCTAATGGAGCGGGACCTCCAATTTTGACACCTTCAGCTGCTCCTGTGCAAAAGGTATATTAGTTGTAAAATGTGGCAAAGTGAGTTTTAGCAAAACTACATTAATATTCTGTGTTTAGCATTAGCAGCCTTGAATCATTGCTGATATCTAAGGAATTTTTTGTTGTAACGTTTGTTCTACAGAAACAGGCATCCCCTTCTGATCTTCCGCCATCTGCACATCCAGCAGCGCTTCCAGTTGGGAATGGCCATACTGAGGTGTCGGCAGTCACAGCAGAAGATGTATCTGTTCCTTCGCTGCCGGAAGACCCAGTTACAGAACCTACACCACCACCGGAACCCGCACCAGCTCCATCTGGAGCTAATCTGCTTGCAGACTTGCTGGCACCTTTAGCAATCGAAGCTCCTCCTGGATATGCGGCACCTGATAGCATAGTTGATTCAAGCCAGGATCCTGGTCCCTCTGCGGGGACTTCTGGACTTGCCCCCATGCAATCATCCGGGCCAGCAGACGCATTAGCTCTCGCCCTTTATGATGGCCCGTCTACTAAAGTCCAGGTACAGGCTTTTTATGGGATTCGCAACGCCTTTTTTAATGTTTATATCTATACGTGTTAATGTAGTAGTTCTCAACTGTGTGCGTATGCTTTTTTAGAGTGTCTTCACATCCCGCCTACAGCTTTCTTTTTATTTTTGGTTTGCAGCCGATTGGAAGTGTCGAAGATTGGTTTAATGCACTTGTGATTAAAGACAGCGGTATACTTTACGAAGATCCTTTTGTTCAGGTGCGTGATTCTTCTAGAGCTGGAAATTAATTCTGTGGCTTTTGATGAATTGATGACTTCTAGATCTTCTGTTGCGTCATTTCTGTTAATGCATCGATGCCGTTTAAATTGAACTGCTAATAAAGTTCTTCTATATTAGCTTGTAACTAAGTTTTTCGGCTTCTCTATCATGCCTCTTATGATTAAAGGTTCTGCATTGATGACCACATTACGATTGAAAATATGCAGATTGGTATAAAAAGTGACTGGAGAGGGATTCAAGGGCGATTGGTGTTATTTCTTGGTAACAAGCATAACGCGTCTTTAACTAACGTTAGGGCTGTGGTACTACCACCTCCCCACTTACGGTTCAAGTCGAGCCCTGTTCCTGATACTATTCCTCCAAGGGCCCAGGTGAGGCTTTCCTGTGACATTTTTGTGGTTCAACGGTTACAAAAGTGGAACCAGAATGCTTTGTTATTGCTTTGGTTAGATATACCGCCTGGCTACTGTTTTTTTGTTACAACTGAGCCGTGTTACCGACGTCCTACAGGCATAGATGCTAACTGTTATGTGTACTACAGGTCCAATGTCCCTTCGATGTTTTTTGTCTGCGCGCCAGCCGAGAGACAGCGGTTCTGGAATTTTCTTACAATAACGGCAATATTCCTGTATGTTTTTCATCTACTTTTATCAGGCTAGCATGTAGCCTGGCCAAGCGTGTCACTAGATGGTATAATCTACTAGTTCGTTGCATGTTGCACTGCTAAATACAGCATTTTTCTCAGTCTAAGAATTTGTTGATTTACATATCCTGCAGAGAGCGACATACTTTCCATAGCTCTTAAGACTCATGTGATATGCTTATTACACGTTGTCCAATTATTACTAGAAAAGGGTTTAAGAAAGTTGTGACCACATTCTGAATGATATGTATATTTCTAAGCGTGCTTATAGAGTCTCTGGACTTCCTATGTGACAGGTCAGTGCGCAGCTGAAGCTCCCTGTATTGATAAACAAATTCTTGCAACCAGTAACAGTGTCTGCAAACGACTTCGTAGCAAGGTGGCGAGCACTAGCTGGCCCTCCATTGAAGCTCCAAGAAGTGGTAAGCATCAGTCCATCTTATTTTGGAGTTTGCATCTCTGATGACGAAAATGTTCGCTCTTACTTTTGGCGAATTACTAGCAAGAGAAATGGATGTGTACATTGAAGCGTTGAATTCGATGTTCAGAATTACATTACCTCTTGCTCAACTTGTTCTACTTCTCTTCTCTGTTTATCTTTTTCTTTCTCTTGGATCTTTTGGATCGTTCGACACTGCTGTTTTATCCATGGGTGATGAATGCTAGGTACGGAACGTCAGGCCTATGCCTCTGATTGAGATGGCAAATTTATTTAACAGCCTGCATATTGGTGTCGCTACCGGATTGGTGAGTCATAGCACCAGGGGATGTCAGGCTTACTCCTGACGCTCCCTACCCAACTTTTCTTTTTTCTTTTTTCTTTTACTTATGGGTCTCCACGGAGTTCCCTTTTATGCTGTGATTTTTCTGCTTTTGTTATAGTTCTGGATGCTAGGATTCTTGTACAACTTGAAATTAAATTCCAAGAGTATCAATTCATATTACTTGTCCTTTAATTTGATGTGTGAAATGGGCTAGACAGGTATACTGGATCAGTGAAAAACAAATTTGTGCTCACTTTTGTGAACTTGCAGGACCCAAATGAGAATAATATCGTGTCTGCAACAACATTTTACTCTGAATCCGCTCAAGCTACACTCTGCTTGGTACATTTTTTTCTTCTGTCCCTTTTCTTGTCAGGTTTGATATTTTTTATTTTTTATTTTTTATTTTTTTTAATGTCTTGTCGTCATAGCATAATACACCACCAACTTACTTGAAGGATCATATGTGTTGTCAGATACGAGTGGAGACAGATCCATCAGACAGGACACAACTGCGACTCACCGTTGGTTCTCAGGATCTAACGACAACATATGAGTATGACAATTTGAATCGACACCTTGTCATTTTTGTCATTAGAATGAGAATAAAAATCCAAGATACTAGAGAGTAGTTTGTCATATTAGTAACGAACATGCTTTTTGAAGTTGTGCCTTGGGTTTAGGCACTGATTTCAAGCATATCTATTTTTATTTCCCAGTTCCAGAGCATACTGTCTCAAGGATTTAAGTATTTTGATGGGTAATGCAGACTCATGGAGTACATAAAGCAGCAACTGATCGATACTCCGCCACCGACGATGGTGTCACCAAATGTTCCAACGACCATCCCAACTAACTCTGAGCTGACAGGTCCTGCAGCACTTCTAAATGGTCTAATTTAATGCATGAGCGGATTTCGTTTCTTCGGTTAAGCATGCCTCTGATCATGACTGCTGTGTCCAGCTCTGGATTCACGCTCAGTTTTGCACTTTGGAAGGCCAAGAAGCTAAGGAATGCGTAGCACATGAATGAGATGCGCTTAGAAATAAAATTCACTAATGGCTGATTTGTTACTGGTTATAGGAGCATTACCATTCTATTTGTAGTGCAGTGAAATCTTTGATTGTAGTTTGAATCCAATTAAACATTCGTTCACTCCCACCCAAGATACAATTTACAATGTTATGACGGTTCTATTCATCGGAAATAAAGTGAGTTATCGTGAATTAACAGATGTGGAACGTCAGCAACTAGAAATGTCTTTATTTACATGTGCTGCAATGACCCATGTGGTCTTTCTAGGCATTTGACAATGGAATTTAAGCATGGTCGCTGCTTTTGCAATACGTAGTATCTTTACAAGCTGCGGGCCTCTCGACTTAAATTTATTTCAAATGATCACCCTACCAGGTATTTTCAAGTTCAAATTGTGCTAATAAAGTTAAGGAATTTCTTATACAACTTCAGCTCAATGTAATACTCTAGTTCTTGTTGTAGTGGTTAAATGGAGGTCTTTTTGGGGCTTTGAAAGACATACTTGTGACTGGAATTTCATATATGCTCTTTGGTTTTGAGGCTATCTTTTTATGCCGCTAATGTCACCATAATTTGCTGTCTATTACATGTTATCACAACTTATTTTTATAAGCATTTTAATTGTTTTATTATTTTTATTATTTTCTATATAATTTGAATTACAACTTTGATAAAATAATTATATTCAGTTACGTAGTTATAATTCAAATTATATAGAAAATAATAAAAATAATAAAAAAATTAAAATGCTTATAAAAATAAAACAATTATATATATATATATATATATATATATATATATATATATAAACTGAAAATACTAACAATTTTTTTGATTGGAATTATAAAAATTAAAGAACAATGTCAAGTGGGTGGTGGGTTGTATGTTGTGGCAATAGCAACATCCTTCACTTATTTGTGTGTTTTTTTAGAAACATTTGTATTTTTATGAATGTATAAATCACAATTTTTGTATCTTTGAATACTTAATAAATTTTTTATAAAATTTAATAGAATGTATTTGTAGAAACATTAATATAGCTATAATAAAAAGAATAAAGATCATTGTCTTTTATGCATAGAAATTAATTACAAATCATAATTATAAAAGACAAACAAAAAAACAAGATATAATTAGATTGAAATAAATTTGTATAATTCATGAGATAGAACAATTTTCATGATAAAAAATAATACTTTTTAAGGCAAAAAACACAATCTAATAAATATTAGCTATCATTCAAATAATTTATTGGTTAAAATATATATACCTAGAATAGTAATGTTTGCTTGTGTGCATCTAACTAAAGTGCCATTTATTCAAATGTTAGGAAAATAATTTTTGATTTAAGTAATCACATTTGGTATTGTTGTTGCAAATTGTTGCTACTTAATGATATTGTTATTTGTTGTGATTAATAGAATCCTTGGTAGTGCTATTTACTTTGACTTATTGTTCATACATGTGTTGATGGTGATGTTAAAATTATTGATAGTTGTTACTTATTTCACTTTGTTATAAATTACTATAACAAATTACAATGCACTAAAATAAATTACAATACAAAAAACTTCATAAAATGTATCTTTACATAAAAATATCTATTATAATGTCAAAATCAGAATATTTCAAACTATTTAAACTAAAATAATAAATTAAAAATCTTAAAAATAGGTCTTAGAAAAAAGATTAATTTTGGATAATTTTATTATTACATAATAAATTATATTATAAACTAATATTTTGTTTTGACATATTATTTCAAAACAAAGCAAGAGGGCATAATGCTAGTATGTATATATATATATATATATATATATATATATTAATCAAACATGCCTTTTCAAACCAAAGTATTTAAAAAATTATAAATTATTCCTTTACAATTACTTAGAAATAAATAAATATTTATATTTCTGATGAAGAAATACATAAAACGAAATGAAGTATTTTTTACTTTACATACAATTATAAATATGAAAAAAAACTTGCAAAGATTATTTAAAAGGATGTATATATGATGTAAGTTTTTAAAATATTCTTTAATATTACTTAACAATTCAATATAAGTACATTAAATAAAGCTTTGAATTTTGGTATTGGATGATTCTAGTTGTAAAATATAACAAGAATTAAGTTATTTCATTTTTAATACAATATATCACAATTGAAAAATACTATCAAAATTTATTTACAAAATCGTGTATATATATATATATAATATTAAAATATCAAAAAACATATTATAATTTCTTTCTTCAATTTAATGATTATTTAGTATTACTCTACATTTCAATAGGATTTTGTTTCAGGATACATAAAATTTTAGCTTCAAAGAACCCCCTTGCTCAGACGTTTATAACGTTGAATCATAACATAGCATGAAAACCTTATTATTGCATGCATATCGGAAACCACAAACATGTTACTTCTACAAACACACCTAATTTTTTGAACAAACATCTTGTATCTATTTTCCAAAACCCAGAAAGGAAATAAAATAAAAGTAATAATAAATCAGAACCTTAATTGGACCTCTACAAATTATTCATATTTATTTGTTTTGTGAGATAAATATAGAAGCAAAACGAAGTCTCCACATCAACATTCGGCATGACGTCAGCAGGGGTTGTAATTCTGGGTACTGTTTCTCGCCATGCACTCAAACTAGAGCCTCGTTTTAAATGCCTTCACCGACAGGGAGTCAAGTAAATGCGGTACAGACACGTGTCAGCTGCTGCTGCACCCCTAAAAAATCCCGGGTTATTTGGGAACACGGGTCCTCGTTCGGACCGGGTCCCCACCCGCGATACGATCGTCGAACCCTAAAAGGTGGCCTGGATCGTTCGAGGCCAAATTGGACTGGACTGCCCTTGATGGAGCAAATTGGACTGGACAATTCTCGAGGTTTCCAGGTGTTTCTGGAGACCTTCACCTTGTTACAGAAATCAACAGAAAAATTATTCACGTCTGCTATGTATTGAAGCTTCTGTGTGTGTTTTTGTACAGTATTGTATAGTAATTCTACGCCATGTCGTGGTCGATGATGCATCTTCAACTGGCCGTAGTCGGCTACACTGTTACGGCGAAGAGCTCAGTCTTGTGGATAACTGATGCTGCTGCTGCTGGGAAGAGTTTGGGGTATTGAATTACGCAGAGACCGCGTCGGTGTAGGTGTGTGAGCGGTGCAGAGGTATCGCAAGTTGTGATATAGCGAGGAGGTTTGTGGTAGGGGGGAGACGGTGAGAGGACGGTGAAAGGTTGTGAGAGAAGAAGAGGGAGACGGGAGAAGATCAGAGGAAAGAAATGGGGGTTGATTACTATAATGTGTTGAAGGTGCCGAAGACGGCAACGGAGGATGATTTGAAGAAAGCGTATAGGAAGTTGGCGATGAAATGGCATCCAGACAAGAATCCGAACAACAAGAAAGAGGCGGAGGCGAAGTTTAAGCAGATATCGGAGGCTTACGAGGTGTTGAGTGATCCGCAGAAGAGGTTGATTTATGATCAGGAAGGAGAGGAAGGTCTGAAAGGTGGTGTGCCACCTGCAGGCTCTTCTCATGGCTTTTCAAATGGCTCAGGGGGGGCGCATTCCTTTAGATATAATCCCAGGAATGCTGAAGATATCTTTGCTGAGTTTTTTGGAGGTGGAAATTGGTTTGGAGGTATGGGTGGAAGGGGAAGTAGAGGAGGTCCTTTCGGCGATGGCATGTTCGGCGGGTTTGGAGGTGGTGAGAGCGTGTTCCGGAGCCCTGATGGGAGCCAAGGATTTCGGTCTTTTGGAGAAGGGCCTTCACACGCGCAACCTCGGAAGGCCGCCCCGGTGGAGAATAAGCTGTTGTGCAGCTTAGAGGAGCTGTACAAGGGGTCCACGAGGAAGATGAAGATTTCGAGGAGTATTGCGGATGCCAGCGGCAAGACGATGCCGGTGGAGGAAATCCTGACAATTGAGGTGAAGCCTGGGTGGAAGAAGGGAACGAAGATCACATTCCCCGAGAAGGGCAATGAGCAACCGGGCATGTTGGCTGCCGACCTGGTGTTCGTGATCGACGAGAAACCTCACGACACGTTCAAGCGGGACGGAAATGACCTAATCGTGACGAAGAAGATATCGCTGGTGGAGGCACTGTCAGGGTGCAGCTTCACGTTGGGGTCACTGGACGGGAGGTCTCTGACGGTGAGCATACCGGACGTGATTCATCCGGGATACGAGAAGGTGCTGGCAAAGGAGGGAATGCCGGTGGCGAAGGAGCCGGGTAGGAGAGGCAATTTGCGGATCAAGTTCGACATTGACTTTCCGACGAGATTGAGCGCGGAGCAGAAGGCAGGGTTGAAGAGGCTGCTGGGAGGCGTGTGAAGGAGGGAATGGTGTGGCAGGACGGTGTTGTGCAGCGCGAGGTGATGATGTGCAGTATTATACATTCATTAGAGCGATTGGTGTCATATTGTGCATAGATGTAGGGAGGAAGTGGAGGTGGTGAGAAGGAAGTGTTTATTTGTATGCACTTGTTCCACTACGAGATTAGATTGCTACTCTTGTAGGAGAGAATAAAAACGTTTTCTCGACACTTTCGTCTGCTTGTTTTTGTCCTCTAATTGGTCGCCCTGTTTCGATGATCGGGGAGAGTGACATTTCGCTGCATTTGATACTTCTTTTACATACATATACGCACATACTCACTCACATATGTGTGTAACAGCGAGTGTGGGTGTGTATGTGTCTTTTGCCCAATGGCGGGTTCCTCTGAGGTTATCTCGCCAATTTTGTGTGCTGGTTAAGCTTTTTCTTTTGTCGTTTATGTCGTAGCATTTGCCTTGTTCGTAAAAGTTCTGTTTCGGGGGATGTTTTAGGGTAGAATAGTGTCTGAGCTCGTTTTGAACGCTTTCGTTGAGGTTTGCGGAGGGATGTGATTTTTTTGCGTCATAATATCTTTTAATTGAGTCTAGTTGTTGAATGTACTCTCTACTTGTTGAATATGAAGATCTCATATGTGAGGCACAGAAGTTATCTGCCACCTCGAAATACGTGGAGTTTAACTAGCACTTCTGAGTTTATGAATCAAGTTGCAAGTGCAACCATGGTTGTTCGAGAATAGTTATGCTCCAAGTATAATTCGAAAGTCGTGTCACTCTGGATGATCGCATTGGCAAGGTTTATAGCGTCTGAACATGGAGATTACTCTTACAAGGCATGCATTAA